CTTTTCTTTTTTTTCTTTTCTTTTTTCCCTTTCTTTGTAAGCCGCCTGGAGTCCTTCAGTATTGGGCGGCCTATAAATTCAATAAATAAATACATTAGTCATATCCCATGCTAAGTAGAAGAGCTGAAGAAAGCCCAAAGAGAAGATTTTAATTCTTTTTCCATGTTGACTATAAATTATCCCTCATAGTTAGAAGGACAAGGAGAGTGCTGCAGGAATGTAGTTGCCATTTCTTCTTTTAAGGATGGCAGTTGAGCATTTTCAACAACATAGTCTCCATGAGTTTCCTGCTGTTAGCAGAATGAAGACTTCCAAATATTTGAAACAGGAGACCTGCTAATCGTGTGGCTATCTGTGTTCCAGGATTGGCCTTTAGGCCTTTTGACAAATATCCTGGTCTTGGTTTTCAAATAATTCTTTGGCCATAGCACTTTGAAACATTTAAATATTTAAAACACAGACACACGCGCACACGCACATGCACACAGACAACTTCCAGCCATTTCCAAACTACTAGTTAATTGTATTCCATCACCTTTCTCTAAAGTTGATCCAATTTCTCTGAATCCTCCTTAAAGTGTGTGTTGCCCAAATCTGGCCACAGTACTTGAGGTCTGGCCATAGCAGAACAGAAGGAAACAGTTACCTCCTGTGATAAGCAAGTTGTATTTCTGCTGATACTTTCTGCAATCATATCAGATTTCTGACTCATATAGAATTTGCAATCAATTACTCTTCCAAGATATTTCTCACAAGTACTATTAAAGGTGGGTTTCTGTCATCTTACATCTGTACTTTTAATTTTCGTTTAATAAGAGAAGAACTTCACCTTTGTCTTTGTTAAATTTTGTTCTATTTCCTTCAGCTAACTTTTCAACACAATTAGGCACTACTAAACTGAAACAAAACCTACCAAAGTCACTTTGAATCTTATTTTGGTCTAGCTAACCCTTTGTATCATCTACAGATCTGATAACATTTCTTTCTACCTTATTTTAGAAATCATTCATGAAAATATTGAGGAATAAAGGACACAGAACTGATCTCAGTGGCACCCCATTTGATATTGCTCTCCAATTAGTTAAATAATTTATTAATGATTGACAGGTATTCTTGAAACTTTCTGAGATGCATAGCATTCATTCCAAATCTGAAACAGTGTGACTTGGATCTTGCAGGTATTACTTAGAAGCCAATAATAAGCAACCCAAGTTTAATCACATACTTGGTTCAGTATTAATGTACTCAGTACGCATACACAAGCATGCAACAGCACTGTTTCTACTTTGACTCTTAAAACTGGAACATGAGTGATGACTCTGGAAAAGATCTGAACTATGTAAACATCTGTGGTCATAAATCACCTTTTAAAATTTAGTTTATAGTGAACTACATGGGTTTTGTTTTTGTTTTTTTGGCATGGAAGTGTTCTTTTTATCAGAAGTGCTTTTAAATGCCCATACTTTGAAGTATTTTGTCTTGCTCTGTCATAACTAAGGTGGACTTTCTTACATGGTAACATGTCCCACCAAGCAAAACACTTCAGCCTAGTAAGAGTTAAGAAGGCAATGCTTTGTTGACTGAGGAATGAAATTAAAACATGCTCCTAAAATCTCTTCTGTCTTACTGATGAACAGTTCCAAACATAACTGTGTTTAGTACCAAATGCAGCAAACTCTCTTTAAAAAGGCAATATAAATCACTGAGTATGTGGGGGTCAAAAAGCAAAGGCATGAAATTCTAAAATTCAGTTAACAGATGATCTTTTCACAGTAAGAAAACATTTGCCCCACATACTGTGTTATTTCAAAGGGCAAAACCGTTGTGGGATGCTGATGGAACTTAGCACACACTGCCAAGTAAAGGTTGGGAGATACTTGCCACTTAGCTGAGATATGTAATCAGAACATTTCTACTTCCTACCAGCTGATAATTCAACTTTGGTGGTCAGTTATTGGCTTATTTTTGTTAAAAAGTTGATATAGATACAGATACAGATATAGAGTCTTCATTTTAAGTATACAGCATTGCAGCTTAAAGAAATATAGTCAACAATCTGTGTTTCTTCAATCTGTTTATGGCCAAACAATTACCATCATGATTTAGGAATAGCAGCTATTAGAAAATGCCCTCAAAATTCCTATTGTCCTTTTGCTTTATTTTTTATTTGAAAGTGGTGGGGACAAACCTTGATGTTAACCAAAAGAGAACTTAAGAACTAATAAAGAAGTAGATTAAAAGGAGTAGTATCACAGTTAAGCCATTAAGGACAAGGGGCATTATAGTTAACAGTACCAACTGACCTTTGTTGATCTCAAAAGAGCTAAGCAGCATTGGACTTGTAGTAGGATGAGAGATTGCAAGGAAATAGCAGAGTTTTAGACTACATTATCAAAAACCTACCCTAGACGAAGCAATGACAAATCACTTCTGAACTGCTGCCAAGCAAATTATACTGATATACTGTATCCAGGATAATTACCTGGAGTCAAACTGTATTCAAGATAGACAGTATCTAACCCTTCGAATATTAATATTTAATATTAATTTAGAACAAGCAGTGAAATGGTAATATATTGTGGGATTTTAAAAAGCTTGCAAATTCAAGAATGAATTGTTGAGAAGTCTCGCTACATTATATTCCCAGCCCAGACCATGACAAACGTCCTCCATACAAAACCATTCCAAGAACAATTTAGTGATTTGTGCATATACCTAATGTGTGAATGCAATCATTTTAAACATAGCAATAATAAACATTTACCTTAAAAGTGCAGTTACCAGTGCAAACATTTTAATGTTAAAACCTACATGGATTAAGCATGTAGAAAAACAGTGTGCCAAGTATATTATGTTTTAATGAATTAGGTTGCTCACCGAGATTGACACATCTTCAGTTCTTCTCTTGGCATTGGAATCAAATAAAACATTTCGTCCTCTTCTTTCACAGTCTTGGTACACAATCAGTCGGATCTGACTTGGATTAAACTCCGGCAAAGGCCAGCTTTAAAAAGATAGGGTAGGGGAGAAAAGAATTTCACATTAGTTGTGGCATTATTAAGTTCATTAACTAAATGTCTTTAGATATACTATCAAGAAGAGATTATGGTGATAGTGACAATCACAACAATTAATGAGCCAAACAGGATATCTCTTTTTGAACATTGGTGTAAAAGTATCAAACTTTATCAGTAACTTTAACAGTAATATGACATCACTCTTGTTAATACACAGTGCAATGCTATTGCAAAATATGCATTAAAAGCAGAATTGTTATTAATAGTAGAAATAGAAAGAGCTATGGGAATAAAGAGCTTCAAAAAGGTTTCTTATTGGTTCTTCTTGCCTTGCATCTTTTATAATAAATACTTTCCCACAAAGATGTTTTATGATCATAGAATTCCCACAGCTAACCCATTTGTTTCATAATGATCAAGAGTGAACAGCACATCTCACTGAACTATCCTCTTGTAAATCCCCTCTGAGAAAACAAAGAGACAAAAAACAGAGGTTCAGGCCAAAAAATGCCAACATAATTCCCTAACTACTTTAGAGGCAAGATTGTCTGCCATCCCAAGGAGGAAGCATAATAGAAATGTATTGTGGTATGAATCACAGAAAAAAGTAGCATAGAAACGAAAGGCGAGAATTCAATTTAATTCCTACGACCACCAAAGAGAAAAGAAATAACAAAACATGTCTGCTTTGCACTGTTGCTTTACCCAATAAAGAATTCCATAAATACAATGCTGTATTACATTGTATTCAATGGTATTCAATACTAAAGGGAAGCCCATTCCACACTAAGCCATGGCTAAAGCCATTGAAAGAAATAATGGAAAAATTATGCTAGAGACCAAAGATTGACCACTCCCAATTTCCCAACTCCAACTATAATGTCAGATCCCAAAATATCCTGTAAATCGTGAAATACTATGCATGAAAATAATGGAATCACAGAATGAAAAAAATCATTTAATTCAGCCCATGTAGGAATTCACTCCAGAGGTGGTATTCAGCAGGTTCTGACCAGTTTTGGAGAACCGATAGCAGAAATTTTGAGTAGTTCGGAGAACTGGTAAACATCACCTCTGACGGGCCCCGCCTCCATCTATTCTCTG